TCCAAAGGTGTCCAACGTCTCGAAAAAAGGATAAAAAAATCTACAAAACCTTTTTAGGTTCTTACCGTGTACCCAGGATAAGAACCTTTTCCTGCGAAACCTTTTTTTAAGTTCCGTACAGCAGAAAAAGGTTTCGTAAGAAAATACAAAACCTTTAGAGTTTCGTATTAAACTGGAGGAAATCATGAGGGTTTAGTATGAAACTATTAGGGTTTAATATGAAACTCTAAAGGTTTCGTATTTTCCTACGAAACCTTTTTCTGCTATACGAAACTTAAAAAAGGTTTCGCAGGAAAAGGTTCTTATCCTGGGTACACGGTAAGAACCTATAAAGGTTTCGTAGATTTTTTTATCCTCTTTTCGAGACTTTGGACACTTTTGGACGCTTTTAGAAATCTCCGGAACCTTTTTCAGGGGTTCGGTAAAAAACCGATTTTTTTTAGAGTGTAGGACGCTGTTCATTATAGAGAAAAAAAATATATATATTTCTCTCTATAATGAACAGCGTCCTAGCGTCCTAGCGTCTTGTTGTTGTCAGGGACGCTGGGACGCCAGGACGCTGTTCATTATAGAGAGAAATATATATATATGTTTCTTTCTATAGTGAACAGCGTCCTGGCGTCCCAGCGTCTTGTTGTTGTCAGGGACGCCAGGACGCTAGGACGCTGTTCATTATAGAGAGAAATATATATATACATTTCTCTCTATAATGAACAGCGTCCTGGTGTCCCAGCGTCCTAGCGTTCAAGCGCCTTCTTGTTGTCTAGGACGGCAGGACACTATAATTATCAAAGAAATTTTTTTCAATCAATAACATATATATATCGAGGTTAATTGGATTGCATATAAAGATACGCTCTAAAATAAAATGTGTAGGATGTGTCGTAACGAGCACGTCGTGTCGTGTTTCTTGCGTTCTCCACTGGATATGCATAGCGAAGAGCGCAAGACACACGACGCGACGTGCTCGTTGAGACACATATTATTTTAGTGTGCATTGATCTTTCTCTTTTAGTCATTGATCAATTCTGATTTAAGCGAAGAAATATTTTCTTACATTCTTATTTCGTTCAAGAAAAAGTAATCATCTATTCACAACTTATAAAAACGAGAGGAAAATTTTTTTTGTATTCATTGAGTAGCATCCAATCAATCAATTGATCTACTTATTAAATTAGTAAAAGGCAAGTATATTCACTAGAAGTAGACGTAATTTTACAAAAAGGGCAAAATAATCTAAATTGAAATGAATTAGACTAGTTTGTTTTTTTTTATCGTTTCTTAGTTGATCAGTTAATTAAAATATATGAAGAAAAATAATTCTTCATCTTTTATTTTATGATATTGAATTTTTTTTTAATCAATAAAAAAAATTGGGGAAGGAATCTATTTATTAAATTGATTCTATCTGAATAGTTAACCATCAATTTAATCTCTACAGTCAAAATAATCTTATTAGAATATTCAAACTGAGATTAACTCTTATCTAAACAATAAATCAATATTTCTACTCATTTTTCATGTTTTACAAGCATAACCAGCATCAATAGTTTGATAATCAATATGTTTATGTCCATTATCAAATAATTGTTGATTTGTTTTTCATCTTGTGTATATTGAGAACGTATTAAATTAAGATCTGATTTAGTTAATGAAACAATTTTATTTAAAGCTTCTGAACGTAATGGTAACAGAAACAGTGGTGTGCAATGAATATTTGGATCCATTCCTTTTGATTAAATAGAAGTAAATAAAAACAGAGGAGAAATAAAAATTCCCTATTGGCATAAGTTCCATAAGATTAAATTAAGACAATATTTGGTTTTGTTGATCTTATGATAATTTATCTAATACTGGTGATGAAGAAATTATCTTGATGTAATTTTATATTTATATTGTTCTCTTTAATTTGTTCATCTTTAATTGTTGAAACATTTAAGATTTGTTTTCGTAAAATTATACGAATATTTTCAATATGTTTTGACGTAAATAAATGATCCTTAAAAGAACAAAATGACTATTAGAAAAGAAATAGACTGATAGTTTTTTTTGAGGAGTTTGAAGTGTGTATTTGATTTGATATAATTTACATTGATCATGATTTGGTTGATATTCATCTGGAAGTTTTAATTGAGAAAAAATTAGATTTTTCTTTTCTTTGGCTCGAACATTTTGAAACCAAACTTGCACAACACGTTTTTGCACTTCTATTTCTTTAGTTAATAATACGCATTCAGGTCTAAATTGAAAAAGAATAATTTTTTCTAAAAGATAAATGAAAATAAATACGTAGTTGAAGTTCTATATTCAAGATAAATATGTTCCATTAACTTAATCTAACTTGTAGAGGAGTCATTTGTGTATTAAATTTTCTTTATGAATTATGAAAATCATTAGTAGAAGATTGTTGTGAATCAGTAGGTGATAAATGTCCATTTGAAATAATTTTTTTTTATTTAATAAAATAAAACTTAAATAAATCATTGTCATCTATTGATTGATCACTTGAATCATTTCATTCATTAAAGAAATCTTCATTCTTATATTTTTTATCTTTTAATTCTATTTTAATTGATGATTCAGATGAATCAAATGGAATTTTATCATTTGAAGAAAATAAATCAAAATCATCTTTATTTTTATATAAATCATTATGTGTTGTTCATAAATGATTTTCAAATGTTGATTTTAATTTAAATGTTAATGAACAATGAATACATTTTTTATTAATAGTTGAACCATCTAATAATTGATTTGAATCAAATTTAATATTATCTTTTCTTTTTCTAGCTCGAGTATTTTGAAACCAAATTTGTACAACATGTTTTTTTAATTTAGTAGACAATGATACATCCTCTAACATTTTTCGTGATAGATTTGATCCAATTGAATATTTTGACATAAAATAATCGTGTTGTTGAAATAACATTATTGTTCAATTTCTTTTTTGATTATTTATATTTGATATTCTACGATTTTCATCACGTAAATCATTATTTTTATCATCTTCTATTCCATTACATGAATCTGACATATATGATGATGATATACTTGCTTTCGATTTTTGATTTGGTGATAAACGATTTGTCGATACTGTTCCATATACTATAGATGTTGGAGTTACAGCTGTTGAACTCATACCAATTCTCTTTTATTTTAAATAACAAGTAACGTTCATCGATCGTCGATTCACTTGGCCCTAGACTGACAGGCTAGCGATGCTGATATACTTGTTTATAGATGTAAACGGGGATCCACTGTGCTTGACTGTCTGTAACAAAACATGGTTATAGTGCCTATCTGATAGTTATGATTCAACCAATGGTGACGGAAGTTATATAGATTATCTACTCATTATAATTTTAATTAATCGACCAGTATTGGTTGAAAATAATGATCATTGTTTAATTATTTATTGTGATTAGATTATTGTTCAATGGTGTATCAGCAAGTAGGTGTTTTATCATTTTATCAATAAATTAGAATCTTTTAAGTGAGTGTGAACATAAAACTACGATAAATAAAAAACATATTCTTTAAATCATTTGATATAACTCTTTGTTTGGCCTGAAACTGCGTCATTATAAGTGTTTTTTCGGATACATATTAATATCGGTACTCAACT